GGCCCTCCTCTGGACCCACTCCAGCAGCTCCATGCCCTTCTTGTGCTGGGGCCTCCAGCGCTGAACGCAGTATTCCAGGTGGGGTCTCACAAGAGCAGAGTAGAGGGGCAGAATCACCTCCCTCAACCTGCTGGCCATGCTTCTTTTGATGCAGCCCAGGATAGTGTTGGCTTTCTGGGCTGCCAGTCCACATTGCCGGCTCATGTTGAGCTTCTCATCCACCAGCACTCCCAAGTCCTTTTCCTCAGGGCTGCTCTCAATCCATTCTCCGCCCAGCCTGTACTTGTGCTTGGGATTGCCCCGACCCACGTGCAGGACCTTGCACTTGGCCTTGTTGAACTTCATGAGGTTCACACAGGCCCACCTCTCAAGCCTGTCAAGGTCCCTCTGGATGGCATCCCTTCCCTCCAGTGTGGCCACAACACCACACAACTTGGTGTCTTCTGCAAACTTGCTGAGGGTGCACTTGATCCCACTGTCTGTGTCGCCAACAAAGATGTTAAATAGCACTGGCCCCAGTACTGACCCCTGAGAAACACCACTCGTCACTGGCCTCCACTTGGACATTGAACTGTTGACCACAACTCTTTGAGTGCGACCATCCAGCCAATTCCTTATCCACCGAGTGGTCCATCCATCAAAACCATGTCTTTCCAGTTTAGAGACAAGGATGTCGTGTGAGAGAGTATCAAATGCTTTGGCTAAGTCCAGGTAGACGATGTCAGTTGCTCTTCCCTTATCCATCAATGCTGTAACCTCATCATAGAAGGCCCCCAGATTAGTCGGGCAGGATTTGCCCTTAGTGAAGCCATGTTGGCTGTCACCAGTCACCTCCTTATTTTCTATGTGCCTTAGCATAGTCGCCAGGAGGATCTGCTGTCTGATCTTGTAATGTATCTTTACACTACATATCAGAAAGATCAACAGATTTATTCTTTTCAAGAAATACGGGTTAGGCGAGTCATCTCAGTCATTCTTTAAATTTTAGTGTTTCCACAGTTTTCCTTTTTTGTTCCAATGGTAGAAAAACTGACTGTAAAAATAGTGATTTTTAAAAAATACTGTTTCCTGTTCACAGAATCAGCATGAGTTTTATTTTTTTTCTCTAGGACTTGTGAAGCTGCTTGTATTTAAAAAAAAAAAAAAAGACAAAAATCCTGCAACAATAAAGACGACAATAAGAAAAATTAAATTCCCTTACTATCTATTTTTCATTTGTCCTTCAACCTGAGGCTTGCTTAATTTCTTCTTTAAAAGGATGGGGATTCCACAACATCTTTGGACAGCCTGTTTGGTTTGGTTATTTATATGGCAACCTTTTCTAGAGTGAATGACTTACCACATGTAGTCCTGTCTTTTCCTCTCTAAAACTCTTACCTCACTGTAATCTGGGTTCTCTTATTTGTGTACATCTTGGTTTGTGTGTATTGTGCACAAAACAAAATACACAGCTGTAATTGATTAGTGTCTGGTAGAACATAATGAATTCTCTTGTGCCTGTAACACTTATTATCTTATATCTCAGGAGAAAGAAACACTGGAACTCATGGTCAGTTTTCTGTTTGGTATCTCTTTGAGATGCTTTTCATCAGAATAGAATGACTGATTAATCCCTGTTTCATATAGATGTGCTTCATTTACTCTGAAAGATACAGTGCATTCTGTTTGTGATAGTCAATTTCATGTTACTCCTTTTGTTGCACTTATTGATACAATTTGGAATTACATCCTCAAAAATAACTCTGACTGCTTCTAATTGCTGATTTTGTGTTTTATCATCAAAGTTAATGAAAAACTTGGTTTTCAGTGTTGCTTCTAGTCAATCTGAAGTACTCATTCACTTTGAATAGAGCAATAATAGGTGATACAATGGGGAAACTGACATTGAGAGAATTAAAAAGACTTAAATCTCCCTAGTTAACATAGAGTCATTAAGTAGCACAAGAATGAGAGAGGGAAAGCAGAGTCTTTGGCAGAGGAGCTGTATGAAGGCAGTCGAATGGAATAAAAAAATGATTTGCCATAAAGTTTTGGATGTTAGATCCTTTATAGCATTTGCCATCAGATATGGTGTTATGATCTTGATCTGTTCTGTAAGATACTTCTGGGAACAGTAAGTGAAATAGTATGCTACATATCGTAGAATCATAGAATCGCATAGGCTGGAAGGGGCCTTAGAGATCATCTAATTCAACCTCCCTGTCATGGGCAGGGACGCTTCTCAACTAGATCAGGCTACTCAAGGCTCTGTCCAGCCTGGCCTTGAACACCTCCAGGGAGGGGGCATCCACAACTTCTCTGGACAATTTATTCCAAAGTCTTTCCACCCTCGTACTGAAGAATTTCTTCCTAAGATCTAATCTAAATCTGTTCTCCTTCAACTTAAACGCATGTCCCCTTGTCCTAGCAGTCAACACTCTTGTAAAAGTCCCTCGCCAGCCTTCCTGTAGGTTCTCTTCAGGTATTGAAAGGCAGCTATTAGGTCCCCCTGAAGTCTTCTCTTTTCAAGGCTGAACAATCCCAGCTCCCGCAGCCTGTCCTCGTAGCAGAGGTGCTCCAGCCCCTGGATCATCTTTGTGGCCCTCCTCTGAACACGCTCCAACAGATCTATGACTCTCTTATGGTGGGGACACCAGAACTGGACGCAGTATTCGAGGTGGGGTCTCACAAGAGCAGTGTAAAGGGGGAGAATCGCCTCTCTCGACCTGCTGACCACACTTCTCTTGATACATCCCAGGATGCGGTTGGCCTTCTGGGCCGCATGAGCGCACTGCCAGCTCATGTTGAGCTTCTCATCTATAAACACCTCTTCAGGGCTACTCTTAACCCACTCTGTGTCCAGTTTGTATTTGTGCCTGGGATTAGCCCGACCCAGGTGAAGGACCTTGCATTTTGACTTGTTGAAGCTCGTGCAGTTAGCACAAACAAACAAATTAAACATTCACAAATAACACCAGCTTTCCAGGATAGCAGAGCTGTGTTAGTACGAAGGGGCAGGGCAGGGGGCGCGTGTTGTCTGTGTGTGGTTTTGTTTTGTTTTGTTTTGTTTTTAATGCTCTCTTCAAATTTCATCTGTGCCAGGTCAGGAAAGATCCCAGTTCTTCCCTTCTTTACAGAATACAATCCAAACAACTGTATTTAAGGTTATGTTTCCTTAGTAAGGACAGATGGAAGAAAGCCTCTGTACACACACAAAAATGAGCAACTAAAAAAGTTGTAGAAATTATATGAGGTTATATGAAGTATGTGAAAGAGAACAACACTGAAGAGCATGGGCTCTTTAAAATTGAAATTGACTGAAAATAGAAGGGAGTGCCATGGTATTTCTGTAATGTATGTATAATTTGTCCTAAAGCAAACAAATATACAACTAATTTTTTCAATACAGACTTTGTGTTTTAGCCACTTGGCAAGTATCTTCCATCTTATTTTTCGTTTGTGCTATAATCACCATGGTTATATATGCCAATTGCATGAATCTGTGTGGCAAATGGAACTGAAACACTTGAGTTCATTGGCACCTTTTAACAGAAATCTGCACAGTTCTACTCGGTGTTAGCTTTTTTTTTTTTTCAATTTTGGGCAACCAGTGAAGGGAGGAAAGATGTGCCTAGGAAGAAACAAATATTTTCTCGTAGTATGTTGTTTGTGTGTACAATTCATTTCAGTGGCAAAACAGTAAATACAGTAATTGCATATGTATGGTCTGTTAAATATAGTTCAAATCACTAGTGATTTTAATTCCATTTTTATATATAAACAAAGGTTTCTACTTGTGTTTTTAGACAGAGCTAAAATTCATTCTCACAGGATATCGCTTTACTTCGGTACCTGCGCGGTGCCTTGGTACAGTCAAAAGGAATAGCAGATAGCAACATCGAAAACTGGGAAGGAAAATAAGTTTAATCTGGGGAAAAAAAAAAAATATTTTTAACAAGGCCAAGACTATTCTAAACTCTTTGAACTAGCTCTTTCTGGATTTTCACTCTCTCAGGAGTCATAAGGGTTATATGAAGGAAGAGGGCTATATTTATTTGGAGAAATATTGAGTTTCAAACAAAAAAGCAAGAAATGTTCATCTATGCTAGCTGCAGAAGCTCTCCAGCCTCTCAGCTAGAGAGTGGCTATCACTTTAGCCACATGTTAAAAGGAAATGACTTAATATTTTCTATCAAAATGTTACCTTCCTCTATAGAAAATGTCACTTGTCAAAAGCATCTTTTCCTCATTTTGCGCAATGTAATAGGAAACACCTTGTTCAAATACATTCACATTTTTGTTTCCCTGTGATAGCTGTTGAAAGGATAAACTGTTGTCTACTGATAGAAGCAAGAGAGTGGTGGTAGGACATCCTGATTTTTAGTTATTGTTGTTAAAACTGACTCCTCGTTGGCTTTGGGCAATTTACTTCAGTGTCTGTTGTTTGAGATATCATTTAATCTATGAGCTAGAGAGGGCAGCAGTAGTTATTATTTCATGTGCTAGAAAGAGTAAGAAGTGAACCTTTCGAGTTTAACATGGTGTTTGGAATTATTTTTTACGTTATTTATAACAGTTATTATCAATAAATCAACATAACTACAGTGTCAGTGTCTGTAAATAATATCTTCTAGTTCTGATTCTTGCTGGTCTGATTAAGTTCTGTCTTCCTTACAACCTTTCATTTTATATTTAACACTCTCTGAGAGAAAAGAGCTTGATTAAGGAGCATCCTTCTAATGAAGAAACGCATTCTCCAGATATGTGTCTCCTCTAGAGTTCTCTTCTTTGTCTTTCTGGTGCTCAAGGAAAGCCAATTTTCTTATTTGGTTACCAAAGGAAGATATGACTTGCGTCTCTAATGTAAAATTCGTCATTCTTCTAGAACAGAATATTTCAGTTGGAAGGGACCTAAAATGATCATGTAGTCCAACTGCTGGAGCAATTCAGGGCTGACCAAGTTAAAGCATGTTGTTAAGGACATTGTCCAAATGCCTCTTAAACATTGACAGAGTTGGGGCATGGACTACCTCTCTAGGAAGCCTGTTGCAGTGTTTGACTACCTTCTCGGTAAAAAAAATGCTTTCTAATGTCCAGTCTCAACTTTCCCTGTTGCAACTTACACGATAGGCAGTATTTTTTTAGGCTGGTGTGGCTGGAAATGGTTAACAAGTTCTTCAGGTTAGAAGCAGAAGTGGAGTTGTCCTAGTTAGTGCTGACTCTTTCTTTTGTTTTCCAGCTGGTGGTGGCTTGTCAATCTCTGCATGCTTCTCTGGAACTCCTAGAATGTTCTTCTTGACAGTACTGACATGCAGTCCTTGATATACCACATGGCATATGCCCTTCCGATTCCTAATCATTACAGAGCACATGCAAAGTTATCTAAGGGTATGTGTAGCTGCCGAGGTCTTGCCACTCATGAATGCCTGAGTGGAGGAGAAGTAAACTTTTGCTAAGAAGGGCTAGACTACTAAAGGTGACATTGATATGCTTCCTGGCAGCTGTTAGCTCAGCAAAATTTATGTTGTTTTAAGAATAAAGTCTTTAGAAGTATTCTCTTCAGGAATGCTAACAAAAAATATTTTGGCACAGGTGTAGAGGGCAGCCACAGAGGGCCAGAATAACTGAAAGTGGTGAAGAAAAGAGTAGTGGACAATTAGGACTTAATTCTGTAAAGTTGCTACTGGCACCCTAACAGCATAAATGGTCAGCAGCAGTTGCAGCAACTGGTATGCATATGAGCACAGGATAGTTTCTGTGCTGCTCTTTTCACCTCTGCAGTCTTGCATCCTTCCTTTTCATTCCCTCCTAATCCCACAAATGGAAAAAGATATCAAAGAAGGTTTTAGAATTTCTTTAGATGGACTCTGCATACACATTTGACTTCAGAACATAGTGTCTGAGTGAGTCATTGGTAAGAGGAACATATGATTTACACCTGTTTTCCCCACTCCGACCTAGCAAATTTGATTTTTAATATGAACATTTTAATAAAGAATATTTTGAACAAAAAGCAGATACAGGAAGAATTTTCTGTTCATTATGTGGCCTGTGCCTAATTAACGATGCCACCATTCACAGTCATGGAATCATAGGATGGTTAATGCTGGAAAGAACCTCTGGATGTTGTCTAGTCTAATGCCCCACCCTGCTCAAAGCAAGGTCAGCTAGAGTGTGTTGCTGAGGACCATGATCATTTGGGTTTTGAGTATCTCCAAAGATGGCACCTCCACAACCTGTCTGGGGCAACTCTGTTCCTGTGTTCAGTCTGGGCAACCTGTTCCAGTGTTCAATCACCCTTACAAGTAAAGCTTCTTTTTATGTTTAAACACAGTTTCTTGTATTCAGTTTGTGTCCATAGCCTCTTATCCTTTCACTGGATACCTCTGACAAGAGCCTGAGTCCATTATCTTTATTTTCTCATATCACTTTTATGTATGTTAATTTGACCCCCCTTGAGCCTTCTGAAGGGTGAACAGTCAGTCACAGCTCTCTCAGCCTTAAGTCCTCAGTCATCTTTGTGGCTCTGTGCTGGACTTGGTCCAATAAGTCCATATCTTTTTTTGAACTGGAGAAGCCAGAATTGGATCCTGCACTCCAGGTGTATCTCACTAGTGCTGAGTAGAGAGGAAGGATCACCTCCCTTGACCAGCTCTTCCTAATGCAGCCCAAGATACCACAAGGGTGCATTGCTGGCTCACAGTCAGTCCTTGTCTACCAGGACCCCCAGTCCATTTTTTCAGGGCTGCTTTCCAGCTGGGTGGTCCCTGGTGTGTGTCAGTGCGTGGGGTCATTCCTTCCCAGGTGCAGAACTTTGCATTTTCCCTCGTTGAACTGCATGAAGTTCTTGTCAGCCCATTTCTGCAGCCCTTCGAGGTCCCTGCGAATGGCAGCACGACCATCTGGTGTACCATCTGCAAACCTGCTGAGGGTTATCTCTGTCCATCACCCGTATCATTAATGAAAATGTTAAACAGTACTGGCCTCACTGTCAACCCCTGGATGCACACCAGGAGTGACTGGCCTCCAGCTGTACTTTATTTGGCTGATTGCAACACTCTGGGCCCAGCTGTTCAGCCAGTTTTTGGTCCACCTCACTATTCATCTAGCCTGAACTTTGTATGCTTGTCTGTGGGGGTTATTGGAGACAGTGTCAAAAGCTTTACCAAAGTCAAGGTAAACAGCATCCGTTGTTCTCCCCTCCTCTGCTAAGCCAGTCACCTCTTTGTAGAAGCCTGTTGAGTTGGTTAAGCACTATTTACCCATCAGAAATCCATGCTGACTACTCCTGATGACCTTGTCCTTCATATATTTGAAAATGGTTTCTAGGATTACTTGTTATATCACCTTCCAGGGACTGAGGTGAGGGTGAGCAGCCTGTAGCTTGCTGAATCCTCTTGTCCTTCTCTAAGGTAGGAGTGACTTTTTCTTTTTTCCAGTCCTTTTAGCAACTAAAAAGGATGTGGAGGAATAATTTTGGGAAAATCTTTTTAGTAATCTTTAACAGAAATATGTTTCTGTGTATGAAAGAAAACCTACTTATTCTCTAAGGCATTTTTTCAATTTTTCTGCAATTTGGATCCTTCTAGCAAATAAAATGAAACATTTTCTTGCATATTTAGTGTCTATTTCAGATATTTCAGTTATATATACCAGGAAATAAGACTGAAGGAAGTTTGGTGAAGACAGGTTTCCTAAAATGCCTTTTCATTCAAAGGAAAGGATAGGAAGCTGCTATAGGAGGCTTGTCTAAGCTCTTCTATAATACAGCAGTGCTTGCTGATTATTGGCTTTGCTGTTTGAAATATGTGAGCTAAATCTAATGAGATGTACATAATGGGGCTGTATTTCATCTATATACTTGCTAAATTAAACCAGCAATATGGCCATGCTTCTAAAAACTAGAGGTAGGAACTGATACAATAACAGTCCTGTAAAAGTACCATGTAACTGCTGCGAAGAGTTACCTTTTTTTACTTGTAAATATGCATGTAATTGCAATATGGATCAAAGTTGCATGTTCACAAAAAGGAAAAATTGACCCCTGCTGAGAGTAGGTGGAGGATTAGTTTTTTTTATTAACAAACCATCTGCTTCTGTGTATACTGAAGTCATTTAATGTTTTCTTGAAAATAAAGTCTCAATCTGAGTCAATAAACAGGTTTTACTTGCATCTAATTCTTTTAACAGAGTTAATTTATCTGCATATTTGATGTGATACCATCACTGGCAGAATTAAAAGTTGTTCTGCTTTTATTCCTCCCTGGTTTATTTTTATGTCAGGCAAACTATGATCTTATGTGACAAGAATGCTTTTGTTTTAGCCATGGATATAAAGGGGGCTGGTTTCTGTTTGTCTTTTTGCTTTTCTTGTTACCTCAGCTGTAACACTGGGAGCACTGCTGTAAAAATCAGCTAGGCTGTTGGTCAGGTAACTGGAACTGATTATAACTGAATAAAAATACAAGTTTATAGGTAGTTTTTTGAATGTAGATATGCTTTGCTTTAAGACTTACAGTGGGGCAATGGATTACTGTTTGAAATAACTTCCCCATACTTTAAAGCTGTGTCACCTGACTAATGTAACTCATTATTGGCTGGCATTAGGTATGAGGTTATTTATCCATTATAATTTACATTATATTATGTACATTATATATTATATACATTAAATGCTTCTTCTGGTTTTATATTTTAGGTCTAAACATATTTGGAGGGAGGCTAAGTGGTTCCACAAGTAGTGCTCTAATGGATGACAGAGAATTTCCACCAAATGATCTACAAATAGACTCAAAGGACAGTCTT